TTTTTTTTTGTGAGACAGAGCCTCAAGCTGTCACCCTGGGTAGAGTGCTGTGGCATCACAGCTCACAATAATCTCAAACTCTTGGGCTTAACCAATTCTCTTGCCTCAGCCTCCCAAGTAGCTGGGACTACAGGCACCCACCACAATACCCAGCTATTTTTTGATTGCAGTTGTCATCGTTGCTTGGCAGACCCAGGCTGGGTTTGAACCTGCCACCCTAGGTGTATGTGGCTGGCGCTCTTGCTGACTGAGCTACAGATGCCACCCTCTCTCTTGTTTTTATATGAATATTTTACATATGTTAATCAAATATTTTTAAGTCACAAGATATAGAAGGGGACATATGACTCAGGGCTAGGGTAAAATACTTTCCCAAGAATTCCCATTTTTATGTGTTTCTATAACTCATTAAGGTGAGCTAAGAGGAGATTCTTGAAATATTTAGGGGGCTGAGGGAAGCAGGCGTTTTATAGTTTACACAGATGTTACTGATCAGCAGATCAGTGGTGTGTAGCAGCTGCTGGGCCTGTGGCTTCTTTATGGGTCTCTGGATCTTCCTTCAGCTTCTGTGATTTATGGGCCAGATGTGTGCACTCAGTGCCATTAAGAGAGGCTCCAGTTTCTGCAAGATACATCACTAGCCACAGAGGCAGCAAGAACTGACATGGGTTTCATTCTGCTCTTGTGGGTTGTAGATCATGCTGTGGGTTTCTGCTTGCCCTTGATCTGCCCCTCTTTACATACAACTTTCCTTCTTGACCACTTGCTCCATGGACTTCAGGTTTCATCATCAGATACAAAGGTGACAGTCTTACAGAGATTGCCTCATCAACTTCCACAATTGTGTAATACCAAAGTTCAATAACAAAATTTATTTCATGTGTATGTACATGTACAACCTATTCAGAATCTTTGGTTAAACCCTCACTGATAAAATAAGAAAAAATGATACTCAATAAAATACCCTAAAACTACTGGGTTTAACCAATCCTTCAAAGCTGTATATGTGTGTATGGTCATATACATAAATATATACATGACCCTGTGCATATGCATATACATGTATTTTCCTTAATGAAATGAGTCTGGAAGTTTGGCACTTAACATAGTCTAGAATTCTGGAATTTCAGAGTGATCATGCCAGATTTTAAGCTTTCTCTATCTCTCTTTTTGTAAAAGATTTTCTAAATCACTAAAGCTGTTGAATAACTAGAAATAGAAAAACAAACGAACAAACAAAACTTCTCTTCAGAAATTCTTCCTTCTATCCAAAATCCTTTTTGTCAGTTACGCTGGCCCCCAGCATTTCTGGTATTACCCTTCATCTCCTTTTCTCTTGTTTCCCCAGGGGCTGAGAAAGGGGACATGTGGCAGAGGAATCAGACCTCTCCGGCTGACTTTATCCTTGAGGGGCTTTTTGATGACTCCCTGGCCCACCTTTTTCTGTTCTCCTTGACCATGGTGGTCTTCCTGATTGCAGTGAGTGGCAACACGCTCACCATTTTCCTCATCTGCACTGATCCCTGGCTTCATACACCAATGTACTTCCTGCTCAGCCAGCTCTCGCTCATGGATCTGCTACATGTCTTCACAACCATCCCCAAGATGGCGTCTAACTACCTCTCGGGCAGGAAGTCCATCTCCTTTGTGGGCTGTGCAGCCCAGCACTTCCTCTACTTGTCCGTGGGTGGTGCTGAGGGTCTTTTCCTAGCTCTCATGTCCTATGACCGCTATGTTGCCATCTGCCATCCACTACGTTATACTGTGCTCATGAACAAAAAGGTAGGACTGATAATGGCTGTTATGTCATGGTTAGGGGCATCCATGAAATCCCTCATTTACACAGTGACCTTGATGTGCTTCCCTTTCTGTGGGGCTCGGAAAATCCGCCACTTCTACTGTGAGTTCCCAGCTCTTGTGAAGTTGGTATGTGGTGACATCTCTGTTTATGAGAACACAGTGTATATCAGCAGTATCCTTCTCCTCCTTCTCCCTATTTTACTGGTTTCTACATCCTATGCCTTCATTCTCCACAGTGTTATTCATATGCGTTCAGCTGGGAGTAAGCGAAATGCCTTTGCCACTTGCAGCTCTCACCTGATTGTGGTTTCCCTTTGGTTTGGTGCCTCCATCTTCTCATATATGAGACCTAGTTCTCAGCGCACTCCATTGCAAGACAAAGTTGGTTCTGTGTTCTATAGCATCATTACTCCCACACTAAATCCTCTGATTTATACTCTTCGGAATAAGGATGTAGCTAAGGCTCTGAGGAGAGTGTTGAGAAGAGATGTTATCAACCAATGACTGGATTAGAGTTAATCCAACTTTACAGTAGAATGGGATAAACTCATCAAATTGACCTGGATAAACCTCTAACATTTTTCAGTGATCTAGATCCCTGATACTCTTTGACTCCTGTGAGAATGACCTGGTTAACACAAACTCTACTATTTTCACTTGGTGTTCATCAATTAAGTACCATGGACTACCTTCCAAGGCCTTTAGAGCAGGCGTCCTCAAACTACTGCCCAAGGGCCACATGCAGCCCACCTAGGACATTTGTCCGGGCTGCCGGGTGTTTTTGCTGCCACTGCCTGTCCTGTTCAGCAGCCGACTCATGCCAGGGCACCAGTCCGGCCCTCCAACGGTCTGAGGGACAGTGAACTGGCCCCCTGTTTAAAAAGTTTGAGGACCCTTGCTAGAATATCAGGCAAAAAGTTAAGTAAAACACCTTTAAAAGAAGACACAAAGTTCAGTGACACTCTGAAAAAAGATAGGAAGGTAGGGGTGGCATCTGTGGCTCAAAGGAGTAGGGCGCCCGCCCCATATGCCAGAGGTGGTGGGTTCAAACCCCAGCCCGGCCAAAAACTGCAAAAAAAAAAAAAAAAATAGCGAGGTAAAGAAATAAAGTACTTTTCCTATTACTATTATTTATTGGATCATAGCTGTGTACATTAATGCAATCATGGGGTACAATGTGCTGGTTTTTTTTTTGAGACAGAGCCTCAAGCTGTCCCCCTGGGTAGAGTGCCGTGGCATTACAGCTCACAGCAACCTCCAACTCCTGGGCTCAAGCGAGTCTCCTGCCTCCGCCTCCCAAGTAGCTGGGACCACAGGCGCCCGCCACAACGCCCGGCTATTTTTTGGTTGCAGCCGTCATTGTTGTTTGGTGGGTCCGGGCTGGGGATTCGAACCCACCACCTTAGGTGTACGAGGCTGGCGCCTTAGCCAGTTGAGCTATAGGCGCTGAGCCAATGTGCTGGTTTTGTATATCATTTGAAATATTTTCATCAAATTGGTTAACAGAGCCTTCACTGCATTTTCTTAGTTATTATGTTAAGACATTTATACTCTACACTTAGTAAATTTAACATGTACCCTTGTAAAATGTACTGTAGGTAGGTTCCCGCCAATTACCCTCCCTATACTCACCCTGGCCCCCCCCCTTTCCCTTCTTCTTAGGCTATAGTTGGGTTATAGCTTTCATATGAAAGCTATAAATTGGTTTCATAGTAGGGCTGAGTACATTGGATACTTTTTCTTCCATTCTTGAGATACTTTGCTAAGAAGAATATGTTCCAGCTCCATCCATGTGAACATTAAAGAGGTAAAGTCTCCATCTTTTTTAAAGGCTTCATAATATTCCATGGTGTACACATACGACAATTTATTAATCCCTTCATGGGTTGATGGGCACTTGGGCTTCTTTCATGACTTAGCAATTATGAATTGGGCTGCAATAAACATTCTGGTGTAAATATCTTTATTATAAAGTGATTTTTGATCTTCTGGATATATATACCTAATAGAGGAATTGAAGGATCGAATGGCAGGTCTATTTTTAGATCCCTAACATCTTTCTACAAGGAATATATTAGTTTGCATTCCCACCAGCAGTGAAGAAGTGTTCCCTTTTCTCCACATCCATACCAACATCTATGGTTTTGGGATTTTGTGATGTGGGCTAATCTTACTGGGGTTAGATGATATCTCAAAGTGGTTTTGATTTGCATTTCTCTGATGATTAAGAATGATGAGCATTTTTTCATGTGTCTGTAGGCTGTGCCCCTGTCTTCTTCAGAGAAGTTTCTCTTCAAGTCCCTTGCCCACCTTGAGAAGGGATCACTTGTTCTTTTCTTGCTAATATGTTTGAGTTCTCTGTGGTTTCTGGTTATTAAACCTTTGTTGGAGTACAAATATCTTCTACCATTCTGAGGGCTGTTTATTTGCTTTATGTACTGTGTTCTCAGCTGTGCAGAAGATTTTTAGTTTGGTCAGATCCCAGTAATGTATTTTTGGTGTTGCTTCAATTGCCCAGGGGTTCATCCTCATAAAATATTCACCCAGGCCAATTTCTTTGAGTGTTTTCCCTATATTTTCTTCTAGTATTTTTATAGTTTCATGTCTTAAGTTTAAATCTTTAATCCAGTGAGAGTCTATCTTGGTTAATGGTGAAAGATTAACCAGTGGGTCCAGTTTCAGTCTTGTATACATTGCCAGCCAGTTCACCCAGCACCATTTGTTAAATAGGGAGTCTTTTCCCCACTGAATGTTTTTAATTGACTTATCAAAGCTCAAATAACGGGATTAACTGGGTTCATCTCTTGGTTCTCTATTCTGTTCCATACATCTACCTCTCTGTTTTTGTGCCTGTACCATGCAGTTTTAATCACTATCGATTTATAGTATAATCTAAGGTCTGGTAGTGTGGTTCCTCCAGCTTTGTTTTTATTTCTGAGTAATGTCTTGGCTATTCGAGGTTTTTCTGATTCCATATAAAATGAAGTATTTTTTTTTTTGAGGTCTTTAAAGCATTATAGTGGAGCGTTAGTAGGGATTGCATTAAAATTGTATATTGCTTTGGGTAATATGGACATTTTAACAATGTTGATTCTTCCCAGCCATGAGCATGATGTGTTTTTCCATTTGTTAACATCTTCAGCTATTTCTTTTCTTTGAGTTTCATAGTTCTCTTTATAGAGATCTTTGATGTCCCTTGTTAGGTAAACTCCCAAATATTTCATCTTCTTTGGCTCTATGGTGAAAGGAATAGAGTCCTTGACTGTTTTTCAGCTTGACTATTGTTGGTATATATAAAGACTACAGATTTATGAGTGGTGATTTTATAACCTGAGACACTGCTGTATTCCTTGATCACTTCTAAGAGTTTTGTAGTAGAATCTCTGGTGTTTTTCCAGATATACAATCATATCATCTGTGAAGAGTGAAAGTTTGATCTCTTCTGACCCCATATGGATACCCTTGATTGCCTTTTCTTGCCTAAGTGCAATGGCTAAGCCTTCCATTACAATGTTGAAAAGCAGTGGAGACAATGGGCAACCTTGCTTGGTTCTTGATCTGGGTGGAAATGATTTCAATTTAACTCCATTCAATATGATATTGGCTGTGGGTTTGCTATAGATGGCCTCTATTGGTTTAAGAAATGTCCCTTCTGTACCCACTTTCTTAAGCAATCTGATCATGAGAGGATGCTGGATATTATCAAAAGCTTTTTCTCTATCAAATGAGAGAATCATATGGTTTTTGGTTTTTATTTTGTTTATGTGATAAATTATATTTATAGATTTACATATATTGAAATATCCTTGAGACCCTGGGATAAAACCCACTTTGTCATGGTGTATAATTTGTTTCATGTGTTGCTGGATTCTGTTTGCTAGGATCTTGTTGAATATTTTTGCATCAGTATTCCTTAGTCATTGGTCTATAATTTTCTTTTCTTGTTGGGTCTTTTCCTGGTTTGGGGTTCAAGGTGATGTTTGTTTCATAAAATGTGTTGCATAGTATTCCTTCTTTTTCTATATTTTGGAAAAGGTTAAAAGGTTAAAAGGTTATAGGTACTAGTTCTTCTTTAAAGGTGTGGTAGAATTCTGATGTGAAACCATCTGGTCCTGGGCTTTTCTTTTTGGGGAGATTTCTTATAGTTGATGCTTGATATAGACCTGTTCAACATTTTCACCTCTTTATGGCTAAGTCTAGGAAGGTGGCATGCTTCCAAGTATTGGTCTATTTCCTTCAAATTTTTGTATTTCTGAGAATAGAGTTTCTTATAATATTCATTAAGGATTTTTTGAATTTCTGAGGAGTCTGTTGTTATTTTGTCTTTGCCATTCCTGATTGATGAAATTAGAGATTTTACTCTTTTATTCCTGTTAGGTTAGCCAAAGGTTTATCTATTTTATTGACCTTTTCATAAAACCAACTTTTGGATTTATTGATCTGTTGTATAATCCTTGTGTTTTCAATTTCATTTAATTCTTCTCCAATTTTGGTTATTTCTTTTCTTCTGCTGGGTTTGGGGTTGGAATGTTCTTCCTTTTCCAGTTGTTTGAGATGTCCCATTAAGTTGTTAACTTCCTCTCTTTCCATTCTCTTGAGGAAGGCTTGTAGTGCTATAAATTTCCCTCTTAGGACTGTCTTTGTGGTATCCCAGAGGTTCTGGTAATTTGTATCTTCATTATCATTTTGTTCCAAAAATTTGGCAATTTCCTTCTTAATCTCATCTATGATCCAGCTATCATTCAGCATAGGGTTATTTAGTTTCCATGATTTTGTGTGCGTATGCAGATTCCTGTTGTTACTGAGTTCAACTTTTATTCCATGATGGTCCGAGAAGATGCAAGGAATAATTTCTATTCTTTTAAATTTTCTGAGGTTAGACTTGTGACCTAAGATGTGATCAATTTTGGAGGATGTTTCATCAGCTTATGAGAAGAATGTGTATTCAGTTTTGTTAGGATGAAATGTTCTGTAGATGTCTGTTAAATCCAATTGTTGAATGGTTAAGTTTGAGTCTAAAATTTATTTGCCTAGCTTCTTGTTGGATGATCTATCCAGCACTGCCAAAGGAGTGTTAAAATCTCTGACTATCATGGAACTGGAGGAAATCAAGTTGCTCATGTGTTTTAGAGTCTCTTTTATAAATTGAAGCTCATTCTGATTGGGTGCCTAAATATTAATAATTGAAATCCCATCATGATGAATGTTACCCCTAACATATATGAAATGACCATCCTTATCTTTCCTTATTTTTGTTGGTTTAAAGCCTATTGTATTTGTGAAAAAGATTGCAACACTTGCTTTTTTCTGAAGAAGCAGATTAAATTCTCCTTTTCATTTGCTTCTTTTCTTCTAAGAAGCAAATGAAAAGGAAAGCACCACACATTAGATTTTGTAAGATGATGCTAAGTAGAAATAAAGGAGAAATTTATAGTACTAATTCCCTGTACTAGAAAGGTAAAATGTCTCAAATTGATGATTTCAGCTTCTACTTTAAGACACTAGAGAAAGAAGAGCAAGGAAAGCTCAAAGTAAACAAACAAACAAACAAAAAAAATGAAAATGATAAAAATTAGAGCAGAAATCAATGCAATAGAATAAAAATCAACAGAGAAACCAGTGAACCCATAAACTAGTGCTTTGTGGGGGGCACCTGTGGTTCAGTGAGTAGGGCGCCGGCCTCATATACCAAGGGTGGCAGGTTCTAACCTGGCTCCAGCTAAACGGCAACAAAAAATAGCCAGGTGTGCCTGTGGTTCAGTGAGTAGGGTGCTGGCCCCATATACAGAGGGTGGTGGGTTCAAACCCAGCCCCGGCAAAACTGCAACAAAAAATAGCCAGGTGTTGTAGCAGGTGCCTGTGGTCCCAGCTACTCAGGAGGCTGAGGCTAGAGAATCGCCTAAGCCCAAGGAGTTGGAGATTGCTGTGAGCTGTGATGCTACAGCACTCTATCAAGGGTTAATAAGTGAAACTCTATCTCAAAAGAAAAAAAAGTAGCTAGGTGTTGTGGTGGGTACCTGTAGTCCCATCTACTCGGGAGGCCGAGGCAAGAGAATTGCCTAAGCCCAAGACCTGGAGGTTTCTGTGAGCTGTGACACCACAGCACTCTACCAAGGGCAACAAAGTGAGACTCTGTCTCTTAAAACAAACAAACAAACAAACAAAAACCCCAAAAAGCTAGTGCTTTGAGACTATCGATAAAGTTGATATAGCTTTAACCAATATGATCAGGGAAAAACAGAGAAGATACAGCTTACTAATGAGGGAGGTGATGGCATCATTTCAGATTCTACTGATATTAAAATGATAATAAGAGGCTTGGTGCCTATAGCTCAGTGGCTACAGCACCGGCCATATACACCAGGGTTGGCAGGTTCGAACCCAGCCCAGAGCCTGCCAAACAACAACAACAAAAATAGCTGGGGGTTGTGGCAGGCGCCTGTATTCCCAGCTACTTGGGAGACTGAGGCAAGAGAATGGCTTAAGCCCAAGAGTTTGAGGTTGCTGTGAGCTGTGATGCCACAGCACTCTACCAAGGGTGACATAGTGAGATTCTGTCTCAAAAAAAAAAAAAAAGATAATATGAGAATATATAAGGTGTCCGTAAAGTTAGTGTGCTATATAAATATATACAGTCTCACTCGAGCCTGGGCAGAGTGCGATGGTGTCATAGCTCACAGGAACCTCAAACTCTTGGGCTCAAGTGATTCTTTTGCCTCAGGCCAGGTAGTTTTTCTATTTTTAGTAGAGACAGGGTCACACTCTTACTCAGGCTGGTATCACACTCCTGAGCTCAGGCAAGAAAGGTGAGAAAGGTAAGGAAGCTGAAGAAGAAAAAGTGTAAAGCTAGCAGAGGTTTAAGGAAGGAAACCACATCTAGAACATAAAAGTACAAGGTGATCCGGCAAATACTGATGTAGAAGCTGCAGGAAGTTATCCAGAAGATGTAGCTAAGGTCATTGATGATGATAGATACACTAAACCACAGATTTCCAGTGTACACACAACAGTCTTCTATTGGAAGAAGATGCCATCTAGAACTTTTGTAGCTAGAGAGGAAAATTCAGTACTTGGCTTCAAAGCTTCAAAGGATAGCCTGACTCTCTTGATAGGGGCTAAGGTAGCTAGTGATGTTAAGTTGAAGCCAGTGTTCTTTTACAATTCCAAAGTAGTAGGGTTCTGAAGAATTATGCCGAATCTACTCTGCCTGTGCTATATAATAGAAAAATAAAGCCTGGATGACAGCACACATGTTTACAGCTCACTGTTGAGAACTATTGTTTGGAAAAAAAAAGATTCCTTTCAAAATAGTGCTTCTCACTGACAACATACCTAGTCACCCAAGGGCTCTGATGGACATGTAGGAGGAGATTAATGTTGTTTTTATGCCTTCTTTGACAGTATCCACTTCAAAGGCCATAGGTCAAGGAATAAGTGACCTTCAAGTCTTATTATTAGTTAAAAAATACATTTCCTAAGGCTGTGGCTTCCAAGGATGATGCTTCCTTTGCTGGATCTGCACAAAGTGAATTGAAAACCTTCTGAAAGGATTCACCATTCTTTATGTATGTAGCTAGGGGTTGTGGTGGGTACCTGTAGTCCCGTCTACTCGGGAGGCTGAGGTAAGAGAATTGCCTAAGCCCA